TTCCCTCATTCTTTGAAGAACTTCCTTTAACACTTACTTATATTGTAGGTCTGTTGGTGAAAGAATCTCTTAACTAAAGATGTTTTTATTTCACCTGTTCTTTTGATGGATATTTTCTCTGGATATGAAATTCTAAGTTGAGAAATTTTTCTTTCAGCACTTTAAAAATGTCATTCTTTTATATTCTGGTTTATGTTGTTTCTGATGAAAAGTCAGATTATTCTGATAGTTTTTCTATATTTAATGTGTCTTTTTTGTGTGGGTGATTTTAAATATATCTCTGTTACTTTTTTTAGCAACTTGATTTTGGTGTATAGTTTTCTTTGTGTTTATTCTGTTCGGGGTTCATTGAATTTCTTGGTTCAGTGGGTTTATATTTTTCATCAGATTCGGAAAATTTCAGCCAGTATTTCTGCAAATATTCTTATTACCCAATCTCTCTTTCTTCTGTTGTTGAGACTTTACATATGTGTTAAACCATTTGGTGATGAAGCTCCATTTAGTTTATCAGTCCTGTTTTCCCTTTGAGCTTCAATTTGGATAGTTTCTAGTACCTTGTCTTTAAGTTTGCTGTTCTTTTCTTCTCTAGTATGCAGTCTGTTTTATTAGAAAAATCTGTCAAGTGAATTTTTCTTTTCACCTACCCTACTTTTCATCTCTGTAATTTCCATTTGGTTCCCTTTTATAGTGTTTCTTTTTTCATTGTGTTCATATTATCCTTTAAATCCTTGAGCATATCTATGAAAGCTGTTTTAAGGTCCTTGTCAGCAGATTCCGTCATCCCTGTCATGTCTGTATGTTACTGTTGATTGATATTTTTCTCCTGATTATTAGTCACATTTTCTTGCTTCGCCTCACAAGTAATTTTTTATTCTGTGCTGCACATTGCAATGTTTGTTGAGCGTCTGGAGTTTGTTATCTTCCTTTGAAAAGTGTTGGATTTTGTTATGGCAGGCAGTTACTTTACATACAGATCGGCTTCATACCTCAAAGGTTTGTTTTTAAACTGTTAGGGTGGGTCTCCGGTTGTTCTTATTCTAGGGTTAGAGTAATCCTTCTAAGGCCTGGCCTTTCTGGGTCCCAAACTAAACGCTCGAGGTGTTCAACAAGGTCTGTCTTCTGTGGCAGATGGGAACTCAGACATCTCATCTTGTGAGACTCCTGAATCCTTCCTTGGCTCACAGCCCCCAGCAGCAGTTACCTGCCAGACTTTTCAGAGGCTCCTTTTATACAGTCAGTTTGGCATCCAGCCATATACTTTAAGGGGGTCCCTCTGCACATTTCTGGAGTTCTTTTTTTTTTTTTTCCTTCAAAATTCCCTTCTTTTCATTATTATATCCTGCTAATTCCAGCCACCTCAGAAGCCCTGAACTCTGACCATTGTCTCCTCCATTCAGCCAGACTGCAGTGCCTTCTTTGGGCTCCACCCCCGTGCCGTGGTCCAGAAGGTGTCCAGGCAGAGACTGGAGTGATCTCACATCAGGGCTTCCCTTGTGAATCACAGCCCTGCGCTGCCTACTGTTAAAAGTCTGAAAACTGTTTTCCTGTATTTTGTCCAGCTTCACAGTTGAATCTGGAGGAGGGCTTAGTCCTACACCGGGAACTCCATGATGGCCAGAGGAGTAAGGTCTGCAGTTCTCTTCCTAAGATGAAATTCCATGAAGAGGCATTCCCAAATGAGACTCCTTGTGCCACAGCTCCCACGCATTCCCTCTTCCAGCCTTTGCACACGTTCTTCCCATTTGCCTCGAATGCATCTTCACCCTCCTCCGCCTTGTGAAGGTTTCAGGGAGCCCCCCTGGTCTCTCTGCGCTCTCGGTAGCCCCGTGGTTACTTTTCTCAAATCCTTATATTCTCTGGAATTTTTTTTTTTGCTCCTGTTGAATTTTCAGCTTTACAGACAGGAGAGACCTCAGTACTCTTCTTATTTTTAAATATCTCTTAGATGTAAACATCTCATGTGTGTTCTTTATAAGGGCAGTCAGCCAGTCTGTCTGAAGCTCGCTCTTCTTTTCCTGGTGAGAACTTGGGTAGGAATTCCAGCCTGATAACATTCCATGTGAGAAGGTCCACAGATGGAGCACACTGTTGAGTGAAAGGAGTTAGGAGTCTGGGAAGTTCATCCTGCTCCATCCCTATCTGCTCTGTGACCCTGGAGTGGTTCCTGTACCTCTCTGAGCTCTGAGTGCCCCTCTGCCTTAGATATACCTCCAGGGCTGATGGGAGGGTGACATATGACATAGCTTCTCATGTCTCCTCTGCGACATTCCGTCTTTGATGTGCTCTGCTTAAGTGGTTCTGAGTTTTGCTTTTCTGGCCATTCACGCATTGATTCTCTGAGTCCACAACACCTCTTGAGCACTTCTGTGTGTCAGGGATTGTGCCAGGTCCTGGGTGCATAATTGGGCCTAGCTGGCAGTCTGCCCTCACAGAGCATTCAGGCTATTGGGGAAAAGAGACCCCAATCAAAAGATCACACCGTGTATCGGTATAGGTGGTGATCAGTGCTTGGAAGGGGCGAGGGGAGGGCACAGAAAGACTGAAAGATACATGATCAGGTGAGGTGTCAGGGAGGGGTACCAGAGGAAGTGATGCTTAAGTGGAGGTGTGTTGGACCAGCATGAGTTACCCAGGCAAAAACTGGAGGGAAGATCATTCCAGCAGAAGAAATAACATGTGCAAAGGCCACAAGGCTTGGAAGAGAGAGAGGGTATTAGAGAATGGGAAAGGCAAGAGGTGAGCCGATCCCAGGCCAGGTGCCTGAAGATTTCTTACATCATGTGCTTCGTGGGTGTCCCTGAGCTCCCTGCCACAGGGGAGGAGGGGGCCAGGATTTTGACATCAGGAATTGTAGACCTTGGGAAGAACTGATCCGGAGGGTCTTCTAGAAACCATCCTTCAGGGTAGAGACTGGGGCTTAAGAATGAAAGCCACGTGCTCAGTGTATTGCTCAGAAATTCTCTGTCCCTTGTGCCCAGGTTCCTGGGATGTGTGGGTTGAGGCCAAAGGAGACCACATGGCCTTGTGCAGAGGGCCCCTCAGGTAGCTGGCAAGCTTGACTCCTGTCTTATCCTGACACGGACTTTCGTGTGGCCCTTAAAGTGACTGAACGTTCTGGGCCTCAGTTTCCTTATCCGTCAAAAGTACCAGTAATAGCTGCTTACATGTGAAGAGCCGTGTACCCTGGGATCTTGTGTGTTCTTGGGTTCTCACAGAATCCCCGTGAGAGGCTGGTCCGCACCAGTTTTCTTGGTGAATAAAAGGGGCATGGGTGGGGGGGAGCTAAGGTTAAGAGAGCGAAGTTAAGAGGCTACGGCCACAGAGACCGAAGGGGAGGGACCTGGCATTCAGAGGTGGGTTCATCTTGCTCCACACTTGGTCCCCAAACTGTGCTTTAGGGAGGCAATGGGGAGCTCAGAGACAGAAGCCTGGACACATACCATGGACTTTGATGTGTAGGTTCTGTGGCTAAAAACATTTGGAAATTGTGAGACAAGCCGCCCTTTTGATTGGCCTCCAGGGGCCTCCATGGTCCTTGGCTCCAAAAGGGAGAGAAAGAGATAGGGAGGGAACATAGGGATGTGTCCTTCCCCACCCAAGCCTCTCTAGTTTCTGATTAAGAAAGCCAGAATCCAGAGAATGGGAGTTGAGACAGTGAGGGCCACCTGTATCCTCTGCGGACGGTGGCCTTGGGGACTCCTCCTGGGGCTGGGGTGGGGCGGGTGAGGGCTTGCTTAAGGGGGCTGTGACCGGAGTGTGCCCTCGCTCCTGGCATCTGGCCACCACTGTGAATGGAGGAGGGGGTACCCTCCAAGAGGACAGGAGGGCAGCCGAGTCCTCTGAGCTCATCTCAGTGTCTCAGGCTGGTGAACAAAGCACCGAAGAGTGCGTTCTCCTGTGTGACCTTGGGTGAAGCCCTGCTTCCCACTTCTCTAGGCCTGGGCTTCTTCACCGGTGCCAGGAATGGCCCAAGGTGGAGGGTCAGGAAGTGCCTTTTTATTTTTTGGCCCTGAAAGCAGTGGGTGGAGTGTCTGATGCTGAGGATGGACACTGTCCTGGGGCCAGGGGTATAACGAGGCCCCTCTTCCACCCCCAGAGGCAGGGGGGCAGCGGCACCGAAGGGGCCCCTTCCCATGCTGCCTGGTCCCCTTCTTGCCTTCGGGGGGAGGGTTGCAATTGAGCCAGAAGACCACTGCCCCCCTCCTGTTCTGTGTTGAATGTGGGAGTGTGGCCTAGTAGTTTAGGGCCCCAGGCGGCATGAAGGAGCTGGACTGCTGCCCGCCCGGGACCGCCAGAGGTGAAGACCACCTGGGGGTCAGCCCCCAGTTCTCAGCGACTCCAGCTTCTGCAGAGGACTCGGGAGGGAGGCAGAGGGTCTGGGAAATGGTGACCCAGGCTTCCCCAGACACCACCAGGGGACTGCTGCACTGATTTGGGTGCAAGCAGCATGTAGACTTAAGTGCTATCCCCGAGAGCGGCAAGTCCATCAGCGCCCCTTCCTCTAAAACCCCGGGGCTACATGGAGCCCCTCTGCTTTTCCCCACCGCCACCAGTCAACCCTGGCACGTCCCTGTCTGTCTGCTTTCTGTCATTACTTCTGAGCCAGCCTGCCTTGGAAGGAAAAGAGGCTTCAGAGCCAGTGTTCTAGAAAATGCTCTTGGGCCTGGGTTGACGATTCAGGTGCCCCAAGCACAGGTCATAGGCTGCATTCTTAGACACCGAGAGCCTGGGTTGGTTGAGGGTTATGGGTGATCCTCCCAGTGAGCTGGCCAGTGGCCTCTGGGAAACTGAGTGTTAGTTGACAATCAGGCTTCCCTCGAGAAGCTGGGGAAGGTTCTAGAATCCTGGACTTTCTTAGGCTCTGAGTGAGAGCGAGAGCCTTTGCTCTCTATGGACCGAGAAGAGGTTTTGACCCTTGAGCATGGGGTTCTGTGGCCCAAGAGACCATTCACTCGGCCTGCTCCGAGGGCCCACGGGGACTGAGAGCATGACCCTCTCAGGTACTGCCCCCGGGTGGGAGCCACCGGACGATCCAGACACGGGCTCTGAGTGTTCACATCCGGAGGTCTCCCCGTCTCCACGCTTCGTGGCAGCGAAGACCCAGACGAACCAGTCGGGGAAAAAGGCTCCGGCCTCCGTGGTCCGATGCGCCACCCTCTTACACCGCACCCCTCCAGCCACCCAAACCCAGACGTTCCGCACTCCAAACTCGGGATCTCCGGCAAGCAAGGCGACCGCAGGTACCGATGGCCTATGTTATGCTCACACTTCACCACTCCCCACCCCGCTCCCACCTGCCACAGCTGTGCCTGGGGTCCCTGTTCCCTTGCAAGAGCGAGTGGAGGTCCCGTGGCCCTCTGGGACAGATCTGGGTGCCTCTCACTGTGCCTCCACCGTGGCAAGCCACGTAGCCTCTCTGAGCCTAGGTTTTCGTACCCTAAATCAGAGGGTTTGTGCTTGATGGTTTGCAAACTTTTTTTTTTTTTTTTTTTTAAGCAGGAGAGTTTTTTTTTAAGATTTTATTTATTTATTTGAGAGAGAGAGAATGAGAGAGAGAGAGCATGAGGGGGGGAGGGTCAGAGGGAGAAGCAGACTCCCCGCTGAGCAGGGAGCCTGATGTGGGACTCGATCCCGGGACTCCAGGATCATGACCTGAGCCGAAGGCAGTCGCTTAACCAACTGAGCCACCCAGGCGCCCAGCAGGAGAGTATTTTTTTCCCAAGTCATGGCCTAAGGAATTAAAAAAAATTTTTTTTTAATTAACTGCCAACATTTGAGCATCAGGAGATTTTGTGTAAGACGTTTGATTTCTTGCTGACGTTGAAAAATCATATCTGACAGAGGTGGGCCCACTTTCCTGGAAGGTAGCAGTTGGCTTGGGGCTGAGCCACGGCGGCCCCCTTGAACAGAGCACATACTGCCCAGTATTCCGTGGTCCTCACCACTCCCTCCTGCCTCCCCAACACAGTGGCCACGTGGCAGGTGTCATGTCTCATTGTGATCACGCTGTTGTCTGTCTTGCATCCAGTCCCGTTCATCCATTTCCATCACCTGCCTGGACCTTCTTGGCATGAGTTTGCATCCCCCATCTTCCTGAAAAACCCAATCTAAAAACACATTTCTAGAAAGAGCTGCTCCCCATGAAGCAGAGCTCTGTTCTCTTAGCCTCCCCCTGCCTGGTACGACCTGTGAAGCCCCTCCCTTAGCCCAGCAGGAAAGCAGTGGGTGCCAGCTCCAGTGTGTTCTGAGTTTGTGCAGGAAGGGGCTGTGGCTGCAGGAGGGTATCAGGCCGTGAAAGGTACTCAGCAGCCCCGCGCCCCGGAAAACTGATGAGACACACCCTGCGACAGCCCCGATGCTGAGTAGCGGCTGTCAGGAATCCTCATTCATATCTGGGTGGACTGAGCCTTGGGCTGCCTGCCGCCGGGGTGTGGGGTAAAGAAAGAGTCATGACGTTGTCCTTGGACTGTGGGCCTTTCCTTGCCCTCAGGAGGCCCAAAGCCATCAGAGAAATACATAAGCGTTCAAACTCAGACCTGAGACCTGAGTTAAGTGAAACAGTAGATTGGACCAACCACATAGCCATGAGATGGTTGTGTTTACCTTTACTCTGGTTCAGGAGGCTCATTTGGGGCAAAGGTTTGGTTCTCTCTTTTTTTTTTTTCTTAAGACATTTATTTATTTGAGAGAGAGAGAAACAGCACAAGAGGGGAGAGGGTCGGAGGGAGAAGCAGGCTCCCCGCTGAGCTGGGAGCCCGATGTGGGACTCAGTCCCAGGACTCCAGGATCATGACCTGAGCCAGAGGCAGAGGCTTAACCAACTGAGCCACCCAGGTGCCCCAAAGATTTGGTTCTTAAAAATGTTTGAGGATAAGTTTATTGTGCTTAGGTCTTCCAAAAGAGGAGTAAGTGGTCAGTCAACCTTGAAGGTAATGATTTTTCAGGTACTGCGCTGAGAAAAGCCAATAGCAGTTGTATTTTTGCAACAGTAGTCATAAATTGGTTGGAGACAGACTGGTCATTGTGGGCTCTTTGATGGTGGATATTGGCTCAACTAAATAAGGGGATCCTGGCTTTTACTCTTGACCTTGTGGCTGGGAGCTTGTACATTGACCGTTTTGTGCAGAAAACTGCCTGCAAGGGCCGTGTGCTCTGTGGCGGCCCTCGGAGCTCCGCGCATCCAGCGAGCTATGGGACGTGCCTCTGGCTGCCGCCGTGTGGCCTGGAAGGCTTGTGGGGCTCACAGGGCGGAGGACAGCAGGGGGTGAGCAGGGCCTTACCCGTCAGAGCCAGAAGTTGTCCTTGCCCCCGTCCCGCTAGCAGGCTGTGCTCCGTGGGTACGAGCCTGCTTGCACACAGCACCCCCCACCCCCTTGGTTTTCGGCCCGAGGTGTTGATGCCTGGAGAGCTGTTCCGAATGTGCACCGTCAGCTGAGCAATAGGGGACTAATGGTAGGGGTCTGTAAGCTCCGTGCTGCATACTGAGATGTTGGTTAGGCTGCATGGAACACCATAGACGGGTAAGCGTTGAAGGAACGCACAGGGATTAAGATGGAGAAAGGAATCACTTCCCTACCCCAGACCTTTTTCGAGAGACTGCATCTGCCCTAGGAACGAACTCTCCTTACTTTGCCATCCGATGGGTTAGGAGTACACCCAGCTCCGGAACTGGGCAACCTCACTTCCCTGTCTTTCTGCCTGTAGAGTGGGGATGACAGTGTGGATCTCAGAGCTCTATCGGGAGGACTGGGGGCGACCATGGGTGTAAGGTGTGTGACCATGCCCGGTGCATAGTAGGTGCTCCGTAAATGAGAGCCCACCCCCCCACCCCCCAACCCCAGATGAAGAATTGAGGGGCTCTCTGTAAATCGGCAAAGAGAGCCCCTCAACTCTTCGTGAGGTGGGCCAATGTGTAGCTGTCAGCCCAGGTGTTTTCATAGACACATTTTGAAGAGCGGGTCTTGCGATGTTATCAACGGCCTCGGCGTCGGGAGGCGTCATTGGGGTCGGGAGCCTGGGCTTAGAGCAGGGCCTGTAGGAGCCACCTGCGGCTTCTTGCCCCGTTGCCCCGTCCTCGTTTCCCTGTTGCCCCATCCTCGTTTCCCTGTTGCCCCATCCTCGTTTCCCCGTTGCCCCATTCTCGTTTGGAACCCTGGCCCCCATGGTCTGAGCACTTGCCCTTCTGACGTAGGGTGGGCTGGGTGATGGTGGCATTTCCCAAAGTGGGTTCCGGGCAATCACCAATTTTGAGGGATACTAAGGAATTTTTAAAATGGGCTTCGGTGGCTAAATATATTTGGGAAGGCTGGGTCACACAAGCGAAATGGGTCTCTTTCGGGTTGAGCTTCTCAGAGCCTTTGATGTCCTTGTGAGAGTTGTCTGCCCTTACAAGGGACTGGGTCAGCTGCTCATCCCCATTGGACTTGCTCTCAGAAGACTTTATCTACTAGAGCGGCCCACAGCCCCGTTGTGCCAAGAGCAAAGCTGCCTTCAAGCGCCTGTATTCTGTCTCAGAACCTTCTGCAGGTGGGGGTGGGGGTCGGAACTAAACCGGTCAGTTTCCTCCTGGTCAGACCCCATCTCTTCGCTCCAGGTTTCCAGTCAGCGCCAGGAAGGTGCCACCTCCAGGTGGAGATGCCCCAGAATCCCTTAAGGAGCCAGTCCCTTCCCCCCAGATGAACTCTGAGCAGACTTCATCTGGTCTTTGGGCTCCCAGGGTGTGGGGCTGCCCCAGCTCTGCCAGTCACACTGTCTCTCCCAGGATGCCCTCCCTGCCACCCAGGGAGCACTTGGCTTGTGGCGCTGGAATCCGCTGTCTGGCCCTCCTGTTCCGCCAGAGCCACCAGCAGGAAGTGGTCTGTCACCCTCCCTGCTCCTTGGTGGGGCCTGTGGCGGCAGATTCTGGCCGAGGAAGTAGTGGGTGGCAGGTCCAGATGACTTAGTGTCACAAATGTGGCTCCTTAGGAGCCAAAGATGGGAGACCCAGGCCCATTTGCCATCGCCCACTCGGCTGGGTTTCATCTGGGCATTCAGGTCACACACGCGTGCCCTGTGCCTGGCCCTCCACCCACGCTGGGCACTGTGCGGGCGATCTCTTGGGGCCCTGACGAGGTATCAGGCAAGTCAGGTGAGCCCGAGGAGCTGGGGGTCTGGTTTGGGGTCCTCGAGCCCTTCGCACTGCAGGTTCCCCAGCATAAAGCCCTGGACGCTCCCAGCCCCCGGACGGGGCAGTTCCGGGGTACCCTGGCCTCAGAGTCCCCTGTGGCATGCCCTTCCCCTGGGCCCTTGTAGTGCTAACCAGTCACCAGTGTTTTCTTGCTCTCTCCTGTCGCCACCCAGCAGAAAGCGCTTTCAGTCGGAGAGTAGAAGGCAAAGCACAAAACCACTTTGAGGAGACAAATAGCAGTTCCCAAAACTCCAGCGGTGAGTGTGCCCTGTGACAACCATCCTGTGCTGTGACCTCCACGCACTCCTTCCCGTGGTGGTGGCAGGTGCTCTGGGCTGGGCTCTTCTTGGTACATGATGGTGTTCCTGGGAGGACATGGCGGGCAGGGAATTAGGGAGGGGGCCAGGGCCAGGCAGAAATGGGAAGGGTGTTTTCTTCCAGGGACCTGCGTCTGGGCCTCAGGGGCATCTCAGGGACCGCTGCTCTTGTCTCTTCCCCGTCCCCATGGAGAGAGGAACTCGACCTCCCCATAGCCTGCAGCATTGACTCAGATGGCCCCGGGGTTGGCGGGGGGTTTGGGGTGGAGGGGAGTAAGAGAGCTCGTGCTAGGTGTTTAGAGTAAACGTTGCAGCCAGTTTCTTTCCAGGACAGGCAAAGGGGGTGTTGTAGAGAGAACTATAGCGTAAGAGCCAGAGACCCCAAGCTCTGGCCCCACTTTGGACCAGAGGCCGTCCAAAGGTCCTCTTCGGGTTGGCCGCGGTGACCGGTGGTGTTTTGGCGCCCCCTGGCGGCTGTCCTAGCGCACCTTGAAGCCGGGCCGTGAAGGCCTCTCCCGTGACCGACGTCAGCTAGCCTAGCCGGGCCCTGGGGGCCTGTCCGAAAGAGGCCCCGCAAGCCGGTCTGCACAGGGGCAACCAGGGCAGGATGGGAAGAAGTTCTGATACTTGGGTTACGGTAAGGTAGGGTACCTCCTCGCTTTCTTGTGCAGCTGTGGCCGAGCTCAGCAGATGAGGTGCTGACCGCTGCCCAGGCACAGACGGGGGTCCATCAGTCAGGGTCTTCATGACACAGCCAGGAGCATGGACTCGGCCATGGAGGCTTCTGCCCAGTACGCTGAGCTCCGGCTCTGGTCCCTAGCCGAAGCGTGAGCCCCGGCTGCAGCGCCTGCGTGCTGGGGACCGGGGCCAGCCTCGCGTTCTCCTGCGCGGGGAAGCGGGGCTCCCGCACACGTCCCTGTGGTGGTGGGCAGTCAGCGAGGCCCGTGGAGGTGACACACTCCCGTGCGGGCTGTTGTGGCGGTGGCGGAGGTTTTAAGGAAGCCAAGTGATACGTGGAGTGCCCCGAGGGGAAGCAAGTGAGGTGCGCTGGGGGGGGTGGGGGGAGCTGGGAATGTCAGCGTAGCCCCGGGAACCGTAGAGCGCGTGCGGCTTTTCCAAATGGCTCACCCTTTTGAGAAATGTAACCCAGCCTCCCCGAGGCGGCACTAAGAGCGATGGGGTGACTTGCCCAAGGCCACACAGGAGGCACCCCCTCCCGGGGAGCCTTCGCCTCAGCAGCCAGGCCGTGTCTCCCCCCCCGCCTCTGGGTCCTGCAGAGCTGCCTCTCGGACTGAGGGACTGGGGAGGACGGTGTGAAGTGCTGGCAGCCACCATTTATTGAGCGCTTACTGCGTGCCTGGCCTGTGTGCAGAGCTGTACGTGTCTCACCTGTTTTCATCCTCACCACAGCCCCGGGGCGGGGGTGGGCTGTCAGTGTTATTGTTAACCCCATTTTCTGGACGAGGAAACTGAGGCCCAGGAGAGGTCAGTCATGGGTCCAGGTCCCCAGCCTGTAAGGGATGGGGCCAGGACCCCGGGCCCAGTCCCTCTGGTCCTCCCCTGCTGCCTTCTGCCTTTGAGGCTCACTCGACAACGCCAGTGAGCAGAACCCCTCCCCGAGGCTGCTCTGGTGTCTGGCGCTAGGATCTAGAAGCAGCTCCCAGCTCCCTCTCCTGAAGGGGCAGCCACACGTGGACATTTCCTCATTAGAGCTCTGTGGGCTCACTGTCTGAGAGTTGAGGGTGTCCAGGAGGCATGGCCCTGGCTGACTTTGCCCTGCCTGGTGCTCCGGCACCAGCCCAGAATGTGAGCCTGGCTCTCAGATCCTCCTCGAGCCCCGATGGCTCACTGCTTCTTCCTGAGGACGGAAGTAATGACAATCATCTCAGAACACCAGATCGGGAAGAGACTTAGCTAAACTGTTTCTCTTTTGCAGAAACTGCAAGTCCCCTGATTTCCAATCCTTTCCCTCTCCTACAGAGTAAGTGACGGTCCCATGGGGGGCTGGAGAGGGCAAGGCAGGGCAGGGAGTGAACTCAGCCGGCCACCTGCTCAGGACCTCCCCAGAGCGCCTGCCCTTGGGCACCCCCTAGGCAGACCTGGCAGCCAGCCGAGGCAGGAGGAGGGCCTGGCCCCAGGTGGGAGGGGGAGTCCGGACAGGGGACGAGGCAGAGTCCTGACCACAGGCAGTCTGCCTCCGCCCTTCCCGGCCCTGGCAGGAACCCAGGCCTTCCCGTTGCTACTCGCGGGGGCAGCCTCAGGACACACCTCCTCCAAGCCCATCTCAACCGCCCTTTGCGTCTCTTCGTTACTCCTCTTTGGCCCCCTTCTTTCCTCTTCCTTCCGCTTTTCCCCGTGCCGGGCACTGGCTTGAGTGCTGGGGACACAGAGGTGGAAGTTTCACCTGCGCATGCGGCCCCATTCCGCCCGCTCTGTCTTCCCTGTCCTCACCTGTCCTGTGTCCTCTCGCCTTTCTACGGCCTTCTCTACTTTCTACCCTTCTCTCTAGTTTATTTCCCGCTCCCTTTACCGTGCTCTGTACTCTTCACCTGGTTTTCGTTTCGTTCATACACTCATGTAGCTGTTTCCTCGGCGCGGATGTCTGCGGAGCATGTGGGACGTGGCCCTGCCCCAGAAGAGCACCTGGTCCGTCAGTGTTGCCCCCCTCCCCTCCCCAGTGCCCAGAACAGTGCCTGGCACACAGTAAGCACTCAATAAATGTCTGCTTGATTGAATCAGACGGCCTCTTTATCTGCAGGTCTTCCTCCCTCCCCCCAAGCTTCTCCCTCAGCAGTTAGTGACAGGGGCGGACAGGCTGGGCCCAGAGCCCCAAGCGCAGAGCCCCAGCCAGCTCCCGGGCATCCGGGGTCATTCTGACCCTAACACAGCTGCCTCGTTTCTCCCCCTCCCGCCCCAGAACCGTACACCTGCGGCGCCTGTGGGATCCAGTTCCAGTTCTACAACAATCTGCTGGAGCACATGCAGTCCCACGCAGGTAAGGGAGCCTGCCCGGAGGCCACGCTTTCTCAGGAAATGGGCACCGGGCCTGGGAGCTGTCCTCAGGGAGCCCTGCGGCCGCCCAGGGCAGGTCTGTGCTGAGGAGGGTGGTGGGAGCACCGTTAGGGGGACGAGCTGAAGAAGACTTCCTGAAGGTTGTGGCTCTGGCGCTGAGCCTGAAGGCCCCATGGTAGCTGACCAGGAAGTATGTCGAGGGGGCAAGGGAGTGTGGTTTGAGATCTCGGTAAGCCGAGGCAGGGGCTGGGAGGGGTGAGGCATCCTCCCGGGGCAGCCTGGGCCCAAGCCCCGTCTCCGAGCAGGTACGTTCGTTGTAACACCGTCCCAAACGTGACAGCAGCGGTCCTCAAACTGGAGCATGCCCCAGGCCCCACCCTGACACCGGGGTCTGTAGGCCTGAGGCAAGTCCCCGGTGACCAGCTGCCTGCCGGCTGGTGGCTTACTACCTAGGTGACCTTTCTATCAGCTGTTCTGCCACCTTCCAGGCTTGTAGTATTAGCATCCTCCTCTCAACCGTCCTGCCTTCGGAGCCATGCCTCCCGTTTTTAGGGTTTTTTCCACAGTAGCACCCCACTTCTGGTCCAGTTTCTGTTTCAGTCAGGCAGACACTACGTGCGATGGCAGATAAACCCCAAATTCTCTAGTGGTTTGACATAATCACTTCTGCGGTCACAGCACAGCTTAATGCAGGTGGCCGGGCTGGCTGGCCCTGAGCACGGTGACCGAAGCTCCGTCCTCCCCATTGGCTCCTCAGAGCCTCCCTCTCTGGGACTGGGCGGCGGGGAGAGAAACACCCTTCCTCCTTCACCACTTTGGATCACAAGTGACACGTGACCTATGTGCCCACATTCCAGGGGCGGGAGCACGCCCAGCGCCACTGTCCAGGGACAGCCTGACACACTGCCAAGAGAAACGGGAACCTGGGGGTTCAGCTAGCGGTCCTTGCCGCCCCTCCCTCCGAGGCCTCCTTGGGGCCTGGGGCGGGGGGCATTGGAAGTGGTGGGAGGAAAGTGCCTGACGGGCAGGGCGGAGCAGGAACGGTGGTCTGTGATGGCGACTGTTGCTGCTCGAGCCCCTCTTAGGGCAGGTGTGACCCGCCCTAGGGCAGGGCTAGGCTCTCATTTAGGCGGGGGGCTGTTCTGTTCTGCGAGCAGGACCCCTCTTCGTTCATTGTGTCCGTCTGGTCCCTTGCACACAGTCATTGGGTGGGCGCTGTCCTCTGGGCGCTCAGTCACGTGCTCTTCGGTGGGGGGAGCTATTATTTCTAATGAACTCATTAAAATCAGAGCTGAGCCAGATTGGCGTGTGAGCTCCAAGTTCTGGTGTGCCTCCAGGCCACGTGACCCGGGCAGGAAACGTAC